GCTTATCAAGTGTTATCCTATCTCCTGGTTCACCACCTGATACTATCAACCTCCTCAAGTTGATCAAGTCTACATACACTGTTGTGCCATCAGCAAGAGAATATATATGTGTCTATAAATGTGTACAAAGAAAATCAGCATTTGAATGCAATAACATATATCAGTATAAATGTTCATTGATACACAACGATGATCAATCGATCACTCTATCAGTCCTCGAACACATACATCTGTAGGTAATCAAGCCTACGACTGCAACTCTAAACTTCAGAATAAATCACTCCTTGACATAAGAATGCAAACAACCACTCACCTCTCACTGCGTCTTGCACGCTAATGACAACCAAACACTATCAACTCCCTACAAGTAATCCACCAGAACTTCCCTTCCACTTCTGGAAGTTCAATACCCTGATATCTTTAGGTTCTTCCGGGCTTCACTACCAGGATCCTCTGCAGCTCCTCCAGGCTGCTATCATGAAGTTTCCTTGAGCAACTACGGTGCTTCACCCTTCTGCTAGGGTCCTCCACAGCTCTCTGGGCTGCTACACCATGAAGTTCCCTCGAGCAACTATGGTGCTTCACCACCTCTACAGAAGCACGTGACACTCCTCTTCACTGCTTCTCCTCACAGCTCGAGGTCCTCTGTTCCACTACCTGGGAGTCTCATCAACTACTCCTTCTGTGCTGGCTTCGAAGTTCTCAGCAACTTCTTCCCCAAAGACAAACCTGCAACCCATCGACACTCCAATAAAATGTTTCCCCTTTAACACATAAACAAAAATAACCACACAATATGCTTGCCTCAAACCTCTATCTGTCCTCTACATACAGTGAGAGTGGACTCCCCCGTTTTGGGTGGGTCCATACTCCACCTCGCCCAGCGGCGGTCCTCACTCACTCCGCCTCACTCACTCAGGGAGGGGCCTTCGCCGTCGGGAGCTCTCAGTCACCTGCCAGCGCTCAGAGGGGACGGACGTCGCTCCGTGTTCCTCCCTCTTCACTCTCTTATTTTAGGCTTTCTGCCTTATTAAAACATGTCTAACTTATAAATAAACATTGCTACTGTCGCTGGGCACACGACCAACTACAAGCAATCACTATGAACTGGCGTATACCGTGCTTACCACAGATCGTCTGGTCGAGGGCGCTTTCCCTCTGACGGCGTCTGGTCACGGCGCTTCCACGGCCCACAATAATGCCTCGGGGGATTTAATAAACACTTCGTCGACCAGGACTTGAGACCACAACGTTCCCAGCTCAGTTCCACAGCTGGCACGTCTACTCACTTCTCTTCTCTTCGAGATATATCACTAGGGGTTCCCTTTTGACGGGAGCTCAACGGAGCGCAGCTTTCCCCTGCGATTTCTGGCACTCAAGTGAGGTCAAAGCCCCTCCAGAAGCGAGCCTCACGCCTCAGCAAAATGTCCACATCTCCTAGCCAGTCATTTATTTGTTTTCTTCTACACTGCCCATAATCTTAAATTGTTATATATATCCAAGCAACTATTTTACATATGCGATATCACCTCAAAATTTGCTAGACCTTCTAATCAGGTCAGGCTTGATGAATAACTCTCAAGGAGGGAGACTCGTTTCTCCTGCAGGCTGAGATCATAACAGTATAAATTACAATCCTGTGAGATTGGAATATTAGATGAACTTAACAGTTTTTTATATATACTGTGTAATCTTTCATATAGAATAGGATAGCGGCACAGTGCTGTGTATACCTAAACTTGTTAATAATAAAAAAAATGTTAGTTCCAATCGATATGGAGAGCGTCGGTCAAGAAACCTTCTTTAAATATGAATACACTGTATCTTTCCTCTCTCAAGAAGACCTAATCACTACAAATGCAAAAATGAGTTTGTCACTTCCTTTTTGATAACATATACAAACCTGAGGGCTCCATGACCTTCTAACTTCGACGCTTGAGCCATATTTTGGAGCCAAATTCTGGCTCTCTGCACGTATTCGCAGTTTGAAATTACGATTATTTATACCGAAAATATGCCATTACTGAGAGCGGCGATGGGTCACATTTTGCCCAAACCCCCCTGCAGTTTTCAAAATTTCCCAATCATCTCAAATTCAAAGCTTGAGCCATATTTTGTAGCTAAATTCAAGCTCTCTGCATGTATTCGCAGTTTGAAATTACGAATTTTTATACCGAAAATGTGCCATTTACTGAAAGCGGTGATGGGTCACATTTGGCCAAACCCCCCTGCAGTTTTCAAAATATCCCAAACCTTCTAAATTCGACGTTTGTGCCATATTTTGGAGCCAATCTCTGGCTCTCTGCACGTATTCGCAGTTCGAAATTACGACTTTTCATACTGGAAATATGCGAATTACTGAAAGCGGCGATGGGTCACATTTTGCCCAAACCCCCACGGCAATTTTCAAAATATCCCAAACATCTCAAATTCGACCCTTGAGTCATATTTTGTAGCCAAATTCTGGCTCTCTGCACGTATTTGCAGTTTGAAATTAAGAATTTTTATACTGAAAATATGCCAATTACTGAAAGCGGCGATGGATCACATTTTCCCTAAACCCTCCCTGTAGTTTTCAAAATATCCCAAACATCCCAAATTCGACGGTTGTGCCATATTTTGGAGCGAAATTCTGTCTCTCTGCACGTATTCGCAGTTTGAAATTACGACTTTCCATACCGAAAATATGCCAAATACTGAGAGCGGCGATAGTTCACATTTTGCCCAAACCCTCCCTGCAGTTTTCAAAATGTCCCAAACATCCCAAATTCGACGCTTGAGCCATATCTTGGTGCAAAATTCTGGCTCTCTTCATGTATTCACAGATTGAAATTACGAATTTTTATACCGAAAATATGCCATTTACTGAAAGCAGTGATGGGTCACATTTGGTCAAACCCCCCTGCAGTTTTCAAAATATCACAAACATTCCAAATTCGACCCTTGAGCCATATTTTGTAGCCAAATTCCGGCTCTCTGCATGTATTCGGAGTTTGAAATTACGACTTTTTATACAGAAAATATGCCATTTACATAGAGCGGCGATGGGTCACATTTTGCTCAAAACCCCCTGCAGTTTTCAAAATTTCCAAAACATCCTAAATTCAACCCTTGAGCCATAATTTGGAGCAAAATTCTATCTCTGTTCACGTATTCGCAGTTTGAAATTACTACTTTTTATACCGAAAATATGCCAATTACTGAAAGTGGCGATGGTAACATTTTGCCCAAACCCTCCCTGCAGTTTTCAAAATATCTCTAACAACACAAATTCGACCCTTGAACCATATTTTGTAGCCAAATTCTGGCTCTCTGCACGCATTTACAGTTTGAAATTACGAATTTTTATACCGAAAACATGCCAATTACTGAGAGCAGCGATGGGTCACATTTTGCCAAACCCCTCCCTGTAGTTTTCAAAATATCCCAAACATCACAAACTCGACGGTTATGCCATATTTTGGAGCCAAATTCTGGCTCTGTGCACGTATTCGCAGTTTGAAACTATGACTTTTTATACAGAAAATATGCCCATTACTGAGAGCGGCGATGGGTCACATTTTGCCCAAACCCCCATGCAGTTTTCAAAATATCCCAAACATCTCAAATTGACCCTTGATCCATATTTTGGACCCAAATTCAGGCTCTCTGCACGTATTCCCAGTTTGAAATTACGACTTTTCATACCGAAAATATGCCATTTACATAGAGCGGCGATGGGTCACATTTTGCCCAAACCACCCATCCCCCCCCTCCCCGGCAGTTTCAAAATATCCCAAACATCCCAAATTCGACCCTTGAGCCATATTTTGGAACCAAATTCTGGCTCTCTTTACGTATTTGCAGTTTGAAATTACGACTTTTCATACTGGAAATATGCCAATTACTGAAAGCGGCGATGGGTCACATTTTGCCCAAACCCCCTCGGCAATTTTCAAAATATCCCAAACATCTTAAATTCGACCCTTGAGTCATATTTTGTAGCCAAATTCTGGCTCTCTGCACGTATTTGCAGTTTGAAATTAAGAATTTTATACCGAAAATATGCCAATTAGTGAAAGCGGCGATGGATCACATTTTCCCTAAACCCTCCCTGCAGTTTTTAAAATATCCCAAACATCCCAAATTCGACGCTTGAGCCATATTTTGGTGTAAAATTCTGGCTCTCTTCACGTATTCGCAGTTTGAATATACGAATTTTATTCCGAAAATTTGGCAATTACTGAGATCGGCGATGGGTCTCATTTTGCCCAAACTCCCCTGCAGTTTTCAAAATTTCCAAAACATCCCAAATTAGACCCTTGAGCCATATTTTGAAGCCAAATTCTCGCTCTCTGCATGTATTTGCAGTTTGAAATTACTAATTTTTATACCAAAAATATGCCAATTACTGAAAGCGGCGATGAATCACATTTTGCCCAAACATTTCTTGCAGTTTTCAAAATATTCCAAACATCCCAAATTCGACGGTGAGCCATATTTTGAAGCCAAATTCTCGCTCTCTGCACGTATTCGCAGTTTGAAATTACGAATTTTTAAACCGAAAATATGCCAATTACTGAAAAAGGCGATGGATCATATTTTGCCCAAACCCTCAATGCAGTTTTCAAAATATTCCAAACATCCCAAATTCAACGGTTGAGCCATATTTTGGAGCCAAATTCTGGCTCCCTGCACGTATTCGCAGTTTGAATTGCCCCCAGAACAATGGGCACATGCCTTGCCCCTGAACAATGGGTACACACCCTGCCCCCTGAACAATGGGTACACACCCTGCCCCCTGAACAATGGGTACACACCCTGCCCCCTGAACAATGGGGGACACACCTTGCCCCCAGAACAATGGGCACATGCCTTTCCCCTGAACAATGGGTACACACCCTGCCCCCTGAACAATGGGGGACACACCTTGCCCCCCCAGAACAATGGGTACACACCCTGCCCCCTAAACAATGGGCACACACCTTGCCCCAGTACACCTCAACCCTCATACAAATTACCTTCACCCTAGCGGTGCTCGCTGATGTTGGATTGGACTTTGTACCCGGGAGCTGGCACTCATAGGGGTGCCACCTGCACGCCCTCACCCGTAGTACCTTCCGTGACCTTTATATGACCTTCCATCAAGCTGGTGACCCCTTGGCCCTAGCGGACCCAAGGACAAGGGGAAGGTCATATCCTTCATGTTATCCTACAGAGAAACGTTTAATTACATATATTTTTTTATCAATGTAGGTTAGTACTATTTATATTCTTTACGTTATTAAATGAATTTTATTCCTTTAACGTGACAGTTAAATAGAATTATAACAGGTGATAAATAATTATTAATTAATCCTTTTGTGGTTAATGAACGCTGTGTTGTTTACATGTTGTTTGGCATTCTCTTGCCGCGATTTGCAGCAGTTGGGGGTCACAGCTCGGCGATTATTAAAACACATGAATCTTCATTAGAACTTTAATTATGTCTATGGTAAAGTGTTAAAATGGACCTTATATTCCTATCTTTCTTGAAGCATATAAAACATTTACGATTGTTTACATATATTCACTGGCGTATACCGTGCTTACCACAGATCGTCTGGTCGAGGGCGCTTTCCCTCTGACGGCGTCTGGTCACGGCGCTTCCACGGCCCACAATAATGCCTCGGGGCGATTTAATAAACACTTCGTCGACCAGGACTTGAGACCACAACGTTCCCAGCTCAGTTCCACAGCTGGCACGTCTACTCACTTCTCTTCTCTTCGAGATATATCACTAGGGGTTCCCTTTTGACGGGAGCTCAACGGAGCGCAGCTTTTCCCTGCGATGTCTGGCTCTCAAGTGAGGTCAAAGCCCCTCCAGAAGCGAGCCTCACGCCTCAGCAAAATGTCCACATCTCCTAGCCAGTCATTTATCTGTTTTCTTCTACACTGCCCATAATCTTAAAATGATATATATATCCAAGCAACTATTTTACATATGCGATATCACCTCAATATTTGCTAGACCTTCTAATCAGGTCAGGCTTGATGAATAACTCTCAAGGAGGGAGACTCGTTTCTCCTGCAGGCTGAGATCATAACAGTATAAATTACAATCCTGTGAGATTGGAATATTAGATGAACTTACCAGTTTTTTATATATACTGTGTAATCTTTCATATAGAATAGGATAGCGGCACAGTGCTGTGTATACCTAAACTTGTTAATAATAAAAAAAATGTTAGTTCCAATCGATAGGGAGAGCGTCGGTCAAGAAACCTTCTTTAAAATATGAATACACTGTATCTTTCCTCTCTCAAGAAGACCAAATCACTACAAATGCAAAAATGAGTTTGTCACTTCCTTTTTGATAACATATACAAACCTGAGGGCTCCATGACCTTCTAAATTCGACGCTTGAGCCATATTTTGGAGCCAAATTCTGGCTCTCTGCACGTATTCGCAGTTTGAAATTACGATTATTTATACCGAAAATATGCCATTTACTGAGAGCGGCGATGGGTCACATTTTGCCCAAACCCCCCTGCAGTTTTCAAAATTTCCCAAACATCTCAAATTCAAAGCTTGAGCCATATTTTGTAGCTAAATTCAGGCTCTCTGCATGTATTCGCAGTTTGAAATTACGAATTTTTATACCGAAAATATGCCATTTACTGAAAGTGGTGATGGGTCACATTTGGCCAAACCCCCCTGCAGATTTCAAAATATCCCAAACCTTCTAAATTCGACGTTTGTGCCATATTTTGGAGCCAATCTCTGGCTCTCTGCACGTATTCGCAGTTCGAAATTACGACTTTTCATACTGGAAATATGCGAATTACTGAAAGCGGCGATGGGTCACATTTTGCCCAAACCCCCACGGCAATTTTCAAAATATCCCAAACATCTCAAATTCGACCCTTGAGTCATATTTTGTAGCCAAATTCTGGCTCTCTGCACGTATTTGCAGTTTGAAATTAAGAATTTTTATACTGAAAATATGCCAATTACTGAAAGCGGCGATGGATCATATTTTCCCTAAACCCTCCCTGTAGTTTTCAAAATATCCCAAACATCCCAAATTCGACGGTTGTGCCATATTTGGAGCGAAATTCTGTCTCTCTGCACGTATTCGCAGTTTGAAATTACGACTTTCCATACCGAAAATATGCCAAATACTGAGAGCGGCTATAGTTCACATTTTGCCCAAACCCTCCCTGCAGTTTTCAAAATGTCCCAAACGTCCCAAATTCGACGCTTGAGCCATATCTTGGTGCAAAATTCTGGCTCTCTTCATGTATTCACAGATTGAAATTACGAATTTTTATACCGAAAATATGCCATTTACTGAAAGCAGTGATGGGTCACATTTGGTCAAACCCCCCTGCAGTTTTCAAAATATCACAAACATCCCAAATTCGACCCTTGAGCCATATTTTGTAGCCAAATTCCGGCTCTCTGCATGTATTCGGAGTTTGAAATTACGACTTTTTATACAGAAAATATGCCATTTACATAGAGCGGCGATGGGTCACATTTTGCTCAAAACCCCCTGCAGTTTTCAAAATTTCCAAAACATCCCAAATTCAACCCTTGAACCATAATTTGGAGCAAAATTCTATCTCCTTGCAGTTTGAAATTACTACTTTTGGCCAATTACTGAAAGCAGCGATGGTAACATTTTGACCAAACACACCTGCAGTTTTCAAAATATCCCAAACATCCCAAATTCACCGGTTGTACCATATTTTGGAGCGAAATTCTATCTCTCTTCACGTATTCGCAGTTTGAAATTACTACTTTTTATACCGAAAATATGCCAATTACTGAAAGCGGCGATGGTAACATTTTGCCCAAACCCTCCCTGCAGTTTTCAAAATATCTCTAACAACACAAATTCGACCCTTGAGCCATATTTTGTAGCCAAATTCTGGCTCTCTGCACGCATTTGCAGTTTGAAATTACGAATTTTTATACCGAAAACATGCCAATTACTGAGAGCAGCGATGGGTCACATTTTGCCAAAATCTCCCTGTAGTTTTCAAAATATCCCAAACATCACAAACTCGACGGTTATGCCATATTTTGGAGCCAAATTCTGGCTCTGTGCACGTACTCGCAGTTTGAAACTATGACTTTTTATACAGAAAATATGCCCATTACTGAGAGCGGCGATGGGTCACATTTTGCCCAAACCCCCATGCAGTTTTCAAAATATCCCAAACATCTCAAATTTGACCCTTGATCCATATTTTGGACCCAAATTCAGGCTCTCTGCACGTATTCCCAGTTTGAAATTACGACTTTTCATACCGAAAATATGCCATTTACATAGAGCGGCGATGGGTCACATTTTGCCCAAACCACCCATCCCCCCCCCTCCCCGGCAGTTTTCAAAATATCCCAAACATCCCAAATTCGACCCTTGAGCCATATTTTGGAACCAAATTCTGGCTCTCTTTACGTATTTGCAGTTTGAAATTACGACTTTTCATACTGGAAATATGCCAATTACTGAAAGCGGCGATGGGTCACATTTTGCCCAAACCCCCTCGGCAATTTTCAAAATATCCCAAACATCTTAAATTCGACCCTTGAGTCATATTTTGTAGCCAAATTCTGGCTCTCTGCACGTATTTGCAGTTTGAAATTAAGAATTTTTATACCGAAAATATGCCAATTAGTGAAAGCGGCGATGGATCACATTTTCCCTAAACCCTCCCTGCAGTTTTTAAAATATCCCAAACATCCCAAATTCGACGATTGAGCCATATTTTGGTGTAAAATTCTGGCTCTCTTCACGTATTCGCAGTTTGAATATACGAATTTTATTCCGAAAATTTGGCAATTACTGAGATCGGCGATGGGTCTCATTTTGCCCAAACTCCCCTGCAGTTTTCAAAATTTCCAAAACATCCCAAATTAGACCCTTGAGCCATATTTTGAAGCCAAATTCTCGCTCTCTGCATGTATTTGCAGTTCTTGCCCCCAGAACAATGGGCATACACCTTGCCCCCAGAACAATGGGCACATGCCTTGCCCCTGAACAATGGGTACACACCCTGCCCCCTGAACAATGGGCACACACCCTGCCCCCTGAACAATGGGTACACACCCTGCCCCCTGAACAATGGGGGACACACCTTGCCCCCAGAACAATGGGCACATGCCTTTCCCCTGAACAATGGGTACACACCCTGCCCCCTGAACAATGGGTACACACCTTGCCCCTGACCAATGGGCACACACCTTGCCCCAGAACACCTCAACCCTCATACAAATTACCTTCACCCTAGCGGTGCTCGCTGATGTTGGATTGGACTTTGTACCCGGCAGCTGGCACTCATAGGGGTGCCACCTGCACGCCCTCACCCGTAGTACCTTCCGTGACCTTTATATGACCTTCCATCAAGCTGGTGACCCCTTGGCCCTAGCGGACCCAAGGACAAGGGGAAGGTCATATCCTTCATGTTATCCTACAGAGAAACGTTTAATTACATATATTTTTTATCAATGTAGGTTAGTACTATTTATATTCTTTACGTTATTAAACGAATTTTATTCCTTTAACGTGACAGTTAAATAGAATTATAACAGGTGATAAATAATTATTAATTAATCCTTTTGTGGTTAATGAACGCTGTGTTGTTTACATGTTGTTTGGCATTCTCTTGCCGCGATTTGCAGCAGTTGGGGGTCACAGCTCGGCGATTATTAAAACACATGAATCTTCATTAGAACTTTAATTATGTCTATGGTAAAGTGTTAAAATGGACCTTATATTCCTATCTTTCTTGAAGCATATAAAACATTTACGATTGTTTACATATATTCGTGAAATAAACATTGTCCTGAGACAGACGGGAGACATCTCCCGTCACGCAGGGTGCAGTCGCACCTCCACAGATCTCCGTTATCATCTATTAATACTGGTAATGGCTCCAAAGGGCCACCACTTACGGGCTATTCATGCCCGTGCCACCTTTTGGGGGTCCATCTAATTACTGCAAGCTACCACAAGCTACACAAGCTTCACAAAGCTTCCTGGCAATACCTTAGTAATGAATAAATATGATATGTTAGGTTAGGCTGACTTAACCTGACCTGACCAAACCTAACCTAAACTAACCTAACCTAACTTAACCTAACCTAACTGACGCTAGGATCGTCGACTTGATTTGGCGTCACCAGCTCTTTATTTTCGT